GGAAATAGCCTTGCTTAGGGAAGAGACCCCCATCGGTAGCCAATACTAACTGGTCAGTCCTGAAATCATATGCATTCAAGTAAGATAAGGAATAAGCATGCTGTATTTATATTTTTAGAAATATATACAAACATTTACATCTATACATACATACATTGACACACACATACACAAACACACACACTTAAAGAAAAAGAAGCCATAAACTTGAGAGGAAGAGCAAGGGTTGGTGGTACATGAGAAAGGCTGAAGAAAGGAAAGAGGAGGTAGAAAATGATGTAATTATATTTTAAGTTGAAAAAATAAAAAAATCATTAAAAAGGAAAAAAGTACACCTAAATATATTAGCTAGAAAATGAAATTTAATTACCATACTATGTTTAGTTTATCTGCCACTGTGTATTAATTTCAGGGAAATACTTGTTTGAAATACAAGAATTATGTGTAGAATAAAGTTAAAAATACTCCCATAATTTTCTAAAAATAAATACTGCTATCCTAAAATATTAGTTGGCAAAACAAATAAACAACAAAATGATTCTTGGTAATCATTGCTTACAAATAATTTATAAAAACATGTTATCATTTAAAAATCTGATAATGTGATAATTTGTAATGTGCCTTTATTTAATGAGTGATGCCAAAAGAGTTATGATACAGAAAAATATTCAAATACAAATGAATGCTGAAGAAAGGAATAAGATATAGACAACAAAAGATGGCTACAGGAGGTTGAACTGGATAAGAAAGATAAGAGTCAATTTAGCATTTGGAAATCCCCACGTCCTGGGCAAGTATTCTACCAACACCAAGTTACAACTCCAGCTAGCTGTTAGCATACTCAAAAAGCCTAGCTGGAAACACAAAAACATAGACAAGAAAAATTATTGGAGATGAATTACCAGGTACTTATATCTTCATTATTTTACCACGTAAGGTGCCAGTCCACAGTTAGTTTTACAGCTGCGAACTGGATAAATTCCTTGTGCTCTAGTCTAAGTGTTTGTACAGATGAATTAAGCATTTATTGGATGGCTGACACATGCCATGCACAGGGAACAACATGTGTTTTGAATAAATATACACATGCACCCACACATAAACATGCACATGTATACATATAAACAAAAATACACATGTGCACAAACATATATACACATGTACACACACAAACATAAATATACACATGTACACAAACATAAATGTACACATGTACACACAAACATACACATGTACTTGTACAAAACATAAACATATATATAAACATATGCATAAACATACATATGTTTGCAAACATATATATGTATACACATAAACAAACCTGAGTACATGAAGTGGGCCAACCAGCCATTTCTACAGTTTTTATAGTATTTTAAAGTGAATTATGCCAGGCAGTGGTGGCGCACACCTTTAATCCCAGCACTTGGGAGGCAGGCGAATCTCTGTGAGTTCGAGGCCAGCCTGGTCTACAGAGCAAGATCCAGGACAGGCTCCAAAGCTACACAGAGAAACCCTGTCTCAAAAAGCCAAATAAGTAAATAAATAAACAAACAAACAAATAAATAAATAAAAATAAAGTGAATTATGAGTCTTTCAGAGAGTATAATTATAATTTCTTTATCAGATATACATTCTTCAAAACTATCTAAAAATAATTAAATGTTTTGTCGCTAATGAAGAGTCCAAAAGTAAGGTTTTATTAATGGGCAACACTACAAAGAAAACAATTTTCTTTTTAGAGAACAGATGTAACTGTGTTTTTAATATAAAGTAGAGGACAGAATTTGATGAAGAGATTCATTGTTAAAGAAGACCACTTAACACAGGAGGCTGCCACTCTAATGAGGGTGTGGTCTCCATCTTCCAAGAACAGGCACTACAGTGACGTCATCAGGAAGAACACCTAAGAAGTCCTAAGAAGTCACTGGGGTTGTCTCTGGCTGGAGGAGACTGAGGTTGAGCAGATCTTGGGTTCAAGCTTTTACTCTGCAGGTTCCACGGCATTTTAGAGGCACAGAAGTAACAAAACCCCCTATTTGGAAAGAGATCTTAGGAAGAAATGCCGATCCCATAAAAGGCAAGGGAAGAGACAGGACCATGCTGGTGGAAGAGAAGACCATTAGGAAGCCTTCAGTAGGTAGAATTGTAAAGACTCAATGAGGGGTTAAGACAAATGCATCCAAATCTCATTTAGGCTTTTAATTTGGTAGGTGAATCATGGTATTAATTAATTAATGTTACGTATTTTTCTCAGCACATTTTATGCACCAGATGTGAATCTGAGTACATAAGGTCTATTTTAATTCTAGACAGGTGGCTGCTGGTAAATAAGTGATCTGAGACAGTGATAAATGTAGTGGAGAAGATGAAATAAAGTTCTGTGATGCTGACTAGGGAGGGACACTTAGCAAAGGTTGTCATGAGAAATGAGAGCCAAATAAATGTAACTTCTACTGCAACAAACGGCCATGAGGGTGAGGGCCAGGAACACAAAGGACTAGAAGAGAAAAAGCTCAGCATCGTCAAACGGCAGGAAGACCAGAGGCATGGAGGACACGGGTGGGCTGTGAGAGAAATGAGAACGATGTGTGCCTGGGTTCTCCGCAGCCCACTCTCAGTTTGTGCTCATTTTCTGTAGAGAGTAGTCAGCTAATTTCAAGTCACTGAACGATGCAATCTGACGTTTATTTCTGTCAGCTATGTCAAGAATGGCCTCTAGGGGAAGACTGGAGGTAGAAACCTGGTAAAAAGTGGTAGCTTTGACTGCTCTTAACAGTGACAAGGCTGGGGGACTGTTGGAATCCAGACACAGAGGCTAAGATGACAAGACTTGAAAGGGATAAAGATGGAATGTGGAGGACAGAGTGGAGCCGAGGGTGCCTCAGGGGATTCAGTTGTCCACCATGTCATAGATGACGGTGATAGGAAGAGATGATGAAAACTTGGACAGTGGTGCTGTGTGTGTGTGTGTGTGTGTGGTGCGCATGCACAACATACACACAAATCAACAAATAAAGCTTTCTATGGTCGAGTTAAGGTCGAAATGTTTAAATATAAGTAAAATGTAGTCAGCTGGTTAGATCGTCTTAAACTCAGGATCACTGACTAGATAACACACTGTGGGAGTCATAAGCCTCTCTCCAGAGTATAAAACAATCAGATTAGAGGGTACCTTCTTGTTTGTTTTTACATGAAGGTTCAAGCAATGCAGAATATACAGCAATGTTTTAAAGAAGAAAGATGAAGAATTATATTTGAGATGCTTAAGGTAAAGATAAATAATTTTGGCTTTTCTATGATAAATCATAGCCTCCTGTATTACGATTTAACTGTGTGGTTTCCTCTGTAGCATCCCTGTTCCCTTTGTGTTCTTGATAGCAACCACTGGCCTCTCCATTGCTCAGAAAGTGCTCCTGACACATCTGAGAACATACATCAGCTCTGATGTACTAACAGTCTAGAAACAACACGGTTCAAATACCTGGAGACTGTCATCTGAAAAAGCTCCTTTCCTTAGGAAGCAGCCTTGGAATTCTTCATACTGATGAGCAAACGTAACAACAACAATAAACTGTCAAGCTCTACAGACATCTCTAGTACATCGTGTAAGTATGGTCCATCTCAATATGCGTCCCCGTGCCCATGCTCCTTTTGATATGTGGAAACTGAATTCTTAAGGTAATAGCATTAAGAGATGTGGCTCTGGGAGATACTTAGGTCATGAGGATGGATCAGTCAGAAGGGGGAATTTTTCCTTTAATAAGGGGTGACGGTCAGGGCTCCATGTCATGGCACGAGAAGGTGCCACATATGAACTAAAGAGCGAACAAGTTCTTACCAGACAGCAAAGTTGCTGGCACCCTGATCTTGGACATTCCAGCTCTAGAACTGAGAGAGATAATTTCCTGTTCTGTAAGCCACTATACAGTCTACAGTACTCTGTAATAGTAGCCTGCTAAAAGACTAGAACTGAAGAGATCAAGGTACTTCAGAATAAAAGGTAGACAGTTTTCTTTGTTCTTGTACCCAATTCTTTCATTACTACCTACCCAGCGCCTTAGGTATAGTCAGTGTTTAGTAACTATTTCTGAAATGAATGAATGAATGAAAAAAAATGCCCTTGATTATAAAATATTTGCTAAGTGAAAATTATTTAAAAAATCCCTTAAAATAAATGCAACTTTCTACTTAGAGCTCATTCCTAATTAATTGATTATAATTAATGTATTCATTTATCAGATCTTTTGGACCACCTACTCTGTATTAGGCACTGAGGAGTCCATGCTGAAGCAAACAGGTCAGAAGCCTGACTTCACTGCAATTGGATTCAGTGGTACTCTTCTGCTACATGGGAGAAGTAGGGGTGTCACAGTGCAGAGAGCTGCAAAATTGTGCTATCTCTTCCACTTAAGTATTATGTTACTACTTCACATTCCCCTAAGTCTTAGAGATGATCACTTCAGTGATTAAACACCGTCAATACACTATGCAGAAAGGATCCTAACATACTAGCATATCCTCCAGAAGAAAACAGCATTTTCCTGCAAAAAGAAGATGTAAGCTGCGTTTTCTCCAGAGTAGTCAGGAAGTACTCTCCGATGCAGAAATAGACAATAGAATTCTCTACAGGTTCATATATTATCTATTCAAATGTGCTAGAGAAAAAAAAAAGCACTAAAAAATAGTCAAAATGTTCTAACTCAAGAACTCATTCCTCTCTTTTGCCCCCTTCCTTCCTCCTAATTTTCCCTTTTCCCCTTCCTCCCCCCCTCCCTTCCTCTCTCTCTCCCTCTCCCTCTCTTTTTTTCCACCTCCTTACAAAAGTTCCCATTTCCTGCACTAGACATGACACTTGGGCTCCTCCCAGTCCTGCTCATCCTGGCTTCCATAGACCGCCTGCTTCTTGGTGGAGTTCAGTTCCTATCCTTCCTCCGGAGAACGTGGCATCCTAGTGACCTTCTCAGTTTCCCTCCAAAGGGTTCTCACTGCATGTCACTTACCTGCAAAGACTGGCCGCCTTCTGCTTCGGAGCTTTTACATCTCATTTCATGTGCTGTGTCTCCTATGCAGCAAAAAAGACACAGAGAGAACTTTTCTGTTATGACCAGTTGTCTTCGGTTCATTCACAGGACTTACTGTAACTGTATGTTCTATGCCATGGAAGTGAGCACTGTTTCCTTTGTTACAATGCAAACAAATTAATTTTTAAGAATAATAAAATGTATTTTATCCAGGTCTCATAAATCTCCCATAAACACACACTGAAATGTATCCTGCTTTACATAAGTTTACATTGAAAAAATAAATCAATTCATATTGCATATACCAAGCCATATTTTAGACAAACCAAGAAATCTATGGCTTGAAGACAGGCAAATTATTTTAGAATATAAATTTCTTTAAGACATGAATAATTGTTCTCCAAATTTGTTTTCATAAGGTTTAATGTTTGTGGGTTTTTTTTTTTGTCCCTGTGGATTAAAGTAGATATGTATGTTTCTGTGTAGCAATAAACCAAATAGAAGACAATCTTCACAGCAGGGAAGGACAATGAACAAACACATAAATAGCTTTCAGTTAGCACTATGATTGCTAAGTCTGGTGCTTCAGTAGATTCTATTCATAAATTAATTTGGATCTCATGACTTGAAGGACAGAATGCATACACAGTTGAGCAAGTATAAGCACAACAACTTATTAATGGCCTGCTTTAATTTGCTTATTACTAATAGTTGGTGACTGGCACGTGGTCAATACACACCCAATTAGCCTATTTCTCTGAAGCATAATCAAAAGCTAATTTAGTAATTTGTAAATTGTTCTTCCCATAAAATTAGGTCAGTTTAAGAATGTACATAACAGTGAAATTATCAAGCTTATGGATGATGCTTTGACTGAAATCAAAGGCAAGGAATTTGTTTATGTTAAAGAATGTTAAAAGCAGTGAGTAGAAAACGACCATGAAACTCTTTACTGAGCTAAATTCTTTCAACTAAACACAAAAGTTTAGTCTATCAATGGTGACAAGTAAAGAGAAGGTGCTTGAAAACTATACAGAACTAAATTAACCTTGTGATGTTTGAAAACTACGGCAATTTCTGATGATAGCTGGCATCCTCAAATGTCTCTATATGGACTAATCAATGCATATCCCAGTCTATCGGCTATGTTTCCAGTGTATGCAATATGACTGTTGGTGGGCATGACTCAAGACAAAGATAGGTATTCAATATTTATTGGTTCAATGAATTAGTGAATTTCTCTTTCTTGTATTTCACCTATAAATCTGTGGCAAAACACTTAAAGGTAGCTAATAAAAAAACAATACCTTCTAAAATTTGTTTAATTTAAAAGGCAAATTTATGAAATATTATTTTGATATTTTGTTATTTCTAATATAATTGTGAGATCATTTTTAAATTTTAAAAAGTTAATAGTAGTTTTCAAAATTCATACTGAAAGAAAAACCACTACTAATTTGGTCTGTATATAATAGCTGTAACTTTATTGTTAAGTCAGAAATTTAGTCAACCTATTGCCGGAATCCAGGATGTCCAACTCTCTGATTGACTTTTTACATAGCTGTTTACAGTAATCCTGCAGTGACACATCAAAAAAAAAAAAAAAGCCTTCTCCTCAGCAATTCCATCTTCTATCATCAGGATCCACCCACAACATACAAACAGAGAAACCAGAGTACACGGAACTCAGTTTGCTTCATTACAGACATGAGCATGGACTAATGCTCAACTATTACAATAATTTATATATATATATATATAATGTTAATAATGCCCACAAAAAACAAACAAAATGTATAAGGAACCATGATAAACTCACCGTGAACAGCTACTAACTCTACAAAAGATTATTCATTTAAAATAGTGACCCTTAACTCATAGCCACACTGTCGCTGCATTTAGGCAGAATTATCCACCACAAAAATCTATGCTTCCTTTGCCATTTTCTTGTTTCAAGGTGAGCACACACATTCTTCCCTATTTCTCCCCACTGTCTGAAAAGCCAGAGAGTTTATCAGCCAGTGTTCTTGAGAGCACACAATGCATCTGCCTGGAAGCAAGGCACAAGCACTATTTCCCGCAACGCCGTGCTGGGCGATGACTCAGATAGCGCAATCACTGATTACAAGGGAAATAGCCATCTGCAAGATTATTTCTGCAAACAAAGGCACAAAATGAAGTGGAACTCAACAAAAGAAAAGAACAGGTCACAGTGAAAGAAATACAGCTTTTGAATTTTTCCCTAATGGAATTATTTTATTGTGATGAAAAATTCAATTATTTTGTATAATTCATTTAGAAGTTAGATACTATAACAATAAATAAAAACAAACATGAGAAATGCAAAGTAAGATGTTTTAGTTTTGAGATACCACTTATGCTTTACAGGCTACAAAGACTCAAGTCAGCCATTTAGAAGGAAGAAGAAAATCCTCTAAGGTTTTCATAGTAATTTCTCTTTTGTAAAACTGTTGATGACCGTTGGGTGGGCGTGGTAAGATCTTTCCCTCTCTATCTGACAAGCAAGTAAACTTCAAGGGGCAGAGGCACTCAGTGACCTGCCCCAAGTCTTCTGGAGGGAAGGCAACCACACGTATGGCAGAAGAACCCATTTCCAGAGTTGGTACAGGCTGTGAAAGCCAACTGCTCTGAAAAGGAGATCTGAAGTCAGGTGCTGGTGCATGCCCCCTTGCCCACCCCCCCATCCTTTTCTCCCCATTCCTGTTTGCCTCACTAAGCTCCATACCTTATGTGTTTTCTTCTCTTCCAATGGTAATGACATCTACTTCTGACCAGAGTAGCCTCCACCCTTCCTTCTGGTCTGATAAAGGAAACATATAGTGCCCTTGGTGGTTTTCCAGAGTTTTAAAGACCAGATACAGTTTTACTATTACTAGAAGCAAAATTCCTCATATTCTAGATAACATGTTAGTTTCTTTGAAGATGTAGATTTTATTTTTAGTAAATGATAAAGGCTACATATCTTAATATGGCTCATTCAGATCTTAAAGGACTAAGGTGAAATAATTTAGAGGTTGGTCAATTTTGTTGTGAAAGGCCAGATAGTAAACATGTTGGGCTTTGCAGGCCATATGGTCTCTGTCACAACTTCATAATTCTACCACTGTAGACAAAAGCAGCCATAGACATCATGTGAGCTAATAAGTGGCTATGATCCAAGACAATATTATTTATGAAAACAGCTGGCAGGCTGGAGAGTTTACGAATCCCTGTTGTAGAGGAATATGTGTACCATGCATTTTCTGAGATTAAAAAAAAAATGGAAAAACATTTGAACTCTTCAAGGAGATGAGAAAGGGAGGGTCATTAGAGCACCATCATGACCCCAGTTCTGTTGGGAGAAGGTGGGGTAGGAGAGGAGAAACTGGAAGAAAGTGAGCACTAGTCATAAGGGGAGGTAGGTAGTGAAGAAACTTCCAGGCATGGGGAAGGATGCCAAATGTTCCCTAGGTTCACCCAGAGGAGGCTTGTAGAGAGGGTTTGGTGGTAGACAAGTTAAGCAACAGACCCATGGTTCTCACTTCTTAGGCCCCACTACCACTTGCTCCTGGCCACTCTTTTCTCTGTGGACTGGTGAGTCTGGGAGGACCTGGTTCTACATGACTGTACCGTTTCTTTAGTTTCTCTTGATAAAAGACAGCCACAGAGAACATGCCGTTCCACTCAGTCCTCTTCCCAGAGGGGAAAGCCTGCTCCAACTCAGCATATCCTACAACTGGGTGGAAGTCAGTCTAATTATGGGATGCACATTAAGAAACCCATTTGCTTCTTGATTTAAACCACATTATTCAACACAAATTTCTAGGCAGAGGAATTGGTCTCTCTCATGGTTTTGTTTCAATTGGCCATATTTTATAGGAAAAGAGGACTGTCATTACCAGAACATCCTTGAGCTCCTAAGCACCAGGACTGGACTGATATAGACATAACTAGAATTTGCCTCCATACAAAAAGATAGGAGCAGAAAGCAACTAGAAATGATCATATTCAATGAGTTAGCTCAACAAAAAGGAAGACATGCCTGGTACAGGAAACCTAGCCAACTACCTAGGGTTAGCGCAGTCACAGATCTTAGATAATCTACAACCACTTTACTAAACTAGCACAATCCCTAACTACATTCTAAATATTTGTCTTTATACTCACAGATAAGTGTAGTTCTCAACCCTAATCAAGAAAATTTCTCTTTGCTACAGACACAGACAACCCACAAAAATACAGAGATTTGGAGTCCAGTCCCAACCAATACATCTACAACACAGCTCCTGCACCTAAGGCTTCAGCATCATTGCAAAGAGGGGTGGAAAGATTTAAGTGCAAGAGAAACAGGAGGCTTGCTGTGATGTTGTCTCTCTCAGAAATGTCATTAATCTACACACAAGAATTCTAATCACTATCGCTACCTAAACAAGACCTGAACACGGATGACACCAACAGACATGCTGACAAAGAAGGAAGAAACCTCAGAAGTCTTCAACCCTAGACAAAGAACTATACGCAACTAAGGAAAGCAGAGAGTAGAAAAACAGTCCTTTCCAGTGAAGAGTACGTCAATTGGTTATCCAATACCAAATGGTCAGCCCCGGAAGCAGGTTCACACAAGTCATGTTATATAGGCTGAGCAGGTTGTATTTAGGAACACACACACACACACACACACACACACACACACACACACACACACACCAATAACAACTAAAAAGAAAAGAGGGGGTAGATGGCAGGGTTTGGAGAAAGGAAAGGGAAGAGGGACATGTTTATATGTATATATAAATATGTATGTATGTATGTATGATAATCTCAAAGAATAAAAAAGACAGAAGTAGAAAAATTTATTTTTATTAGAAAGGATTTATTTCTAGAATTCCATATCCGAGAATATAATCTACAAAAATTATTCCAAGGAGTTCACATAGGAAAAATATTTCTATGGTCAGATGTATGAGAAAAACCTGCAGAGCATAAGTTCTCAGTTGATATTTAGCTCATTTCAGTATCTGAGAAATTGTATAGTAAATAA